ACATCCAAATATGAAACAGATGTGTCAGACTCGGTGGCATCTTTTATTTCATATTCAACTGGATATATCGAATCAACGTAGAAATGAAAAAGATAAAACGTCGTCGATATGAAGGCCACAGCAAGATAGAAGTTGAAAAATAGAAATGAAGGAAAAAAAGAAGTATCAGAATCGTGCATTCTAGAGATGAAACAAAAATTTGACGAGAAATGAAAAAGAAGTTGTCAGAGCTATTTTTTTTTTAAATTTCAATCTGATACTAGTAAGTGTAGTACGTACTGTTTCGTCACTTCGCATAATAATAAACGTACCTTGTGGTTTTTTTCCGCGAAATTTGTCAAGCACCTGTTCTGTTTAAGGGGAAAGGGTTAGTCTGTTATTATTGGACTTCATCTTTACTAAATAAAAACTTAGCCAAAGTTAACTTTTTCCACGTTGCATGAAATTTATTTACCCTTAAAAAAAACTTTTACTCTTTCTTTTCGATAGATTCAACAAGTATTTTCTTCGAATGTGCCTCTTGCACCTCTCATTATCAGGCTAATATTAAACCATGTCCGACTTCCGATAACTTAGGGTCACATAACTTTTTCACAGTTTGTAACGATTTATATTTAATACATAATAAAACACTAAAAGATAAGGAACCCCGGTTGAAATTTTATCACTCCATTTCTAAACTGGATCGGGTTCGAGATTTGACAATCGGCAATCCTCGGATGACTCCCCTACGGTCCATACAAAATTACGAGCCACGCAAGGAGCTCCGAGTATTGTTTTGAACGGAAGGCTCGCCGCTCGGCTCGAAAAACTGAGAAAGGTAGGGATTCCTACTGAGAAATTGAATTGTATTTTAGAACTTCGTTTGTTGCATGTTATTTTAGAATAAATATTTTTCCCATAGCGTTTGAAATCGCTGCGCATTGATGGACAGAGTCTAGTTCTTCAAATATATCTACCTTGTATATGTACCGAAAAATTATTTTTGTTTTGGCGCTGTTTTATCAATTACATGATTCAGGGTATTCGTTGAAATATTTCGATAGTCGACTCATAAGAATAAGCATCTTTTTCAGAATTTTGAACCGTTTGATATTGATAATTTAGGAGTAAATCAAACTAAGGTATTGTTAAAAAAAACTAGCCTCTACTTGTACTTTCATTTTTAATCGAAGATTCGGGGGCATATAGTTTTGCTCTGTCCACCATCTGTCTGTTTGTCCGCTAAAACTTTAACATTGCCCATAACTTTTGATTTTGTTGGAGCTATGGCTGTCATATTTCACATGTGTATTCCTTGTGACAAGACCTGTCTTTGGGTACAATCTTATTTGTCCTTTTGACCTTGATCTTGGAGTTTGACCCTGTTTTGTAAATTTTTACCCAACTTTAACATTGGCCAAAACTTTTGAATGGTTGGTGCTAGGGCTTTCCTACTTCACATATGTAATACCTGTGACAGGACCTTCCTTTGGATATCAACAACTTTGACCCTTTGACCTTGACCTTGGAGTTTGACCTACTTTGAAAAACTTTAACCTTGGCCATTCATACTTCACATATGTAATTCTTATGAAGTTATGACAAGACCTTCCTTTGGATACCAACAATTATAGCCCATTGACCTTGACCTTGGAGTTTTACTAGGGATGCGCAATATACTGGTATATCACGATTTTTTATTGCGTTATACGTATCGTGATACGGAGACTCAAGTACCGGTATTTGGTACATAACTATAAATTCTGGAAATCATTCATTAATTTGTTCAAACTATTGAATGACAATTACAGGAAGTGTAAAAAATGTTGAAAACAGTTAAACAACGGCATCCAAACATGCTTTATATTAAATGAATAAAAATTTAAAAAATAAAGTTATGTTTTTATAGCATATTTTTAACAAATATTATGGAAATTCATTTGAAATTCTAGTAAAAATAGTGTGTAAAAATATCACGATTTATCGTGATATTTTTGGGAAAAAATCGAGATATATCAAGATACGAAATTTTGGCGATACCCATCCCTAAGTTTTACCTACTTTTAAAAATATTTTAACCTTGGCCATTACTTATGAATAGTTGGTGCTAGGGCTTTCATTCTTTATATATTTAATCCTTGTGACAAGACTTTACTTTGGATACCAACAACTTTGTCCCTTTGACCTTGACCTTGGAGTTTGACCTCTTTTTGAAAAACTTTAACCTTGGCCATAACTTTTAAACGATTGGTGCTAGAGCTTTCATAGTTCACATGTGTATTTCTTGTGAGAAGGCCTTTGCTTAGGCACCATTAATTTTGACCCTGACCTTGATGTTTGACTTTTGAAAAACTTTAACCTTTTCCATATCTATTCAATGTTTGCTACCAGGGCTTTCATATTTCACAGGTATATTCCTCGAGACAAGAATTTACCTTGGATACCAACATATTTGATTTGCATTTGAAAAAGTTTAACCTTCGCCATAAGTTGCCAAACAGGGGCATCAGTGTTTCACAAACACATCTTGTTTTTTTACTTTCACTTTCTTTTGTCAATCTGGCCAGGCTCTGTTTCAAACCTACTGTAAGATCTATTTAAATTAAAAATAAAGTACACAGAGCAGAGACGAATATCTCTATTTTGAACTTAATGTAATTTGGCATTCTTTCATACCAGTCTTTATGTTTAATATTAGTAAAATCTTAGAAATAAGAAGCATTTTGTATGACCTTTAATTATTTCCTGTGTACATTGTGTACATGTATAACAAAACTGACAGTTTTTGGTATGTGGTAAGTTACGGTGATAAAAAGCATTAATCTTCATTCCCTTTTCCCTACATGATGCCCATATAAAGCATTACACAGGGCTCGACATTAATGCTTGTCCGGTACCAGTAAAAAAAAAAATATGGACAAGTAAATATTGATGGGCACTTGTCCGATTGGACAAGTGCATTTTTATGTAAAGAAGTCTCTAAATATTAAATAAAGAACAACTGTTGAAAGTTTACCAGTACTTTAAGACAGAAACAGTACATAAAAACCGAACTTCGATCCCGATATCGATCGCTTTGTAATTGAGTACACTCGTTGACAGCATTTATGTTGTCAGGACAGAAAGTCTAGATAAAATTTTGTTTTATGTGTTTGTTGTATTTATAAATAACATCATGCACATGTAATGGACTTTGTTTTTAGTTTTTCAGTTAACAGTATTAGATCTTTATTGAAAATTTTTCGGACAAGTGAAGTTGAAGTTCGGACAAGTAGATGTCTTGGTTACTTGTCTGAATGGACAAGTAGGAAAAAAAGTTAATGTCGAGCCCTGTTACATGGTATTCAGCATGCATGAAACGTGATATTTCAAAACTAGTCTTAACAATGAACACTTGGGTGCAGTAGATCTTTACACATGGAAAACTTCACATTATTGATAAAAATTGGACGGTTAAGCAAAATTATATTCACCAATAACATTTCTGTTAAATGTTATACAGTAAAACACGCTTGTAGTGAACAGGCTTATAATGAAGCGATTTTCATTCCCCATGACTTTAAACTGTGTTGTGATAATAACGGATATAACAAATTACATTTATTACGAAATTACATCAAAATCAACTGTCCCTGGCACTTCGTTATAAGCATATAAATGTTTTACTGTAATTGTAATTGATATTTCCACAGTGTAACCTATTCTCCATAAAAGGATTGCATTTTGTTTCATGCATAAATGTGTTGTTTTGGGTTTTTTTTTAGCTCAGCTGAGCCGAAGGCTCATGTGAGCTTTCCTGATCGAAATTTGTCCATTGTCAGTTGTCGTTGTCACTTTTCACATTTTCATCTTCTTCTCAAGCACCACTGGGCCAATATCAATCAAACTTGCCACATGGTATCCTTGGGTAAAGAGGATTCGAGTTTGTTCAAATAAAGGGCCACGCCTTCTTCCAAGGGGAGATAATGAAGAATTCCTGAAAAATTAATGGCATCGTTTAATTAAATATCTTCTTCTCAAGAACCACTATGCTAGAAAATATGAAACTTATGTGGAAGCATCCTCAGGTAGTGTAGATTCAAATTTGCTCAAATCATGACCCCTGCGGGTAGGGTGGGGCCACAGTGGGCAATCAAAGTTCTACATAGAAATTCATAGGGAAAAATCTTTAAAAATCTTCTTCTCAAGAACAGCAAAGCTGTGATTGGTCATAATAAAATAAAAGCATCCTCAGGTAATGTAGATTTAAATTTTGTTCAACTCATGACCCCCCCCCACTTAGTATAGAGGGGCCATAAAAGGGGATCGTAGTTATAGATACAAAGGAACATAAAGGATATTTCAATAAAAATTTCTTTTAAGAACAGCAAAACCATAATTATTCTGTCATATTAATTCAAAAGCATTTTAAGGTGGTGTAGATTCAAGTTTGCTCAAATCATAACACCCCCCCCCCCCCCAAGTGCTCAGGTGAGCGATGTGGACCATGGGCCTCTTGTTGAAATGAAATTGTCAAGTTTGTTCACTGTAAATATGTGGGAATACCTTATCCTTCTTAACTTCTCATCTTACTTCTAAAGAGTTTTTTGTCTAAAAAAATCTTTTTAAGGAAAAAAACCAAAAGCACATGTTCTCTTTTTGTTCCTTTGAAATCTGCTTATGGGTGTGTGAAAATGCTGTTTTCTGATTGGGCAGAAAAATATTTATTTGTAGATGAAGTATATTTATAGCAACTTATAGTTATCATTCTTGACCAGACCTGATGAATGTACAATAGAAAAAAGATGTTCATTTTCAGTAACCACTGAGTGACGTATTCCCCCAGAGTAAAATATGGATGTCAAAATATGAACTTTGTCAAACCTCAAACACTTATTGAGAACTTTTGCAGAGTGCCAAAATTACTTGATAACTGGTAACTTTTAAATTCATAAATGTGCAACCAGTTGGATGATAATGTAGAAGAGAACTGCTGTCAAGTGTTTATCTTAATTAAGGTAATCCAACAAATGCTTAATTTAATTTTGTTTCAAAGATGTTTGCTGCAACACAGAGTTATATTCCTGGACTCAGTAAAAGGCCCGTTACTCCACCAGAAGAAAAGATTCCAGCCTCCAAAATCCCGAAAGAGGTACGATCAACATGATCAATTGTCATCTAATTATCTTGTCTACATTGTTTTTATCCCAGATAATTGTTTGAAGAAAGCTTAGATTCCATCTGTAAACAAAAAAAAAGAAAAGAAAAACACAGAGAAATTGCTAGCACATATACTACATTTTATTGTAATATATTAGAAATTCTAAAATTTTTGTGCATGCAGATAAGCTTGTGTATTAAGTACTTGCCTATAGAATTGAATCATTCACTGGTTGTCATGGGGTCACATGCATTTCGTGCTTGCCCTGACAATTCTGACATGGATGATTCCAATAAAAATTCATGCTATTATAAATTCCACTTATGGCTGTGTACATTTCTCACATTATGACTAAGAAAATGGATTTTTTTCTTTATATTCCAGGTTCCAAAGGAGCTAATAGACAACTTCAGGAATGGATCCAAGCAGCCAATCAGTGCCCTGAATGAGTTTTGTTCGTTACAACGCCGAGTTGTCTCTTATCGTGAAGATGCAGTTATGGTTGCTACATACAAACAGACTTTTGCCTACGTTTGTAAAGTAGATGGTAAGGAATATCCGCAGGGTATAGGCTCCACAAAGAAAGAGGCCAAAACAAACTCTGCCAAGATTGCATTCAACATCATTCTGGGATTCAATAAAGAGGAGGAAATTGATGAGGATGGTGGGTGTATTCTTTTTTTTTTTTACAAAAGTTAAATGAAGTCATGGTCACCTACAAATGATGTAGAAAATCCTTTTTGCAGTATTAATACAATTTCGGCTATTTTCTAAATCGCTCATTTAGATGTCAGTTTGGTATCTTTACTGTTGTAGATGGTGGATCAGTTCAGTATGTTTACTGGCTTAAATCTTTCACTTTGTAGATGGGTCAGTTCAGTACATTTACTTTCACTTTGTAGATGGGTTAGTTCAGTATGATGCTATTGTATCTTTCACTTTGTAGATGGGACAGTTCAATATATTTACTGACTTATAACTTTCACTTTGTAGATGGGTCAGTTCAGTATGTTTACTGACTTATAACTTTCACTTTGTAGATGGGTCAGTTCTGTATGTTTACTTTCACTTTGTAGGTGGGTCAGTTCAGTACATTTTCTTTCACTTTGTAGATGGGTCAGTTCAGTATGATGCTATGGGAAGGAAACTGCAAACTGAGCCAGGACGTCTGGGTTCACATGAGAAACCACTAAAACCAGTGTGTATTTTGATAGGTCTCCTATAAAGAAGTATCAGTTCTTTAATTAAGGACATTCAATGTGTATTTGACTTTGAAAATATTAAACACTTCATATTCAAAATGTTCAAAATCAGTTCAGGGAATATACATACACATGTGTATTTTTATTTATTTTTTTTTATTATTATGAAGGATGATTCCAAGAACCCTATAAACAAACTCCAGGAATATTGTGCCCATAAGATGCTTCCATTCAAGATTGATGTCAGTGATCAGCAAGGACCTCAGGGGTGAGTTATTTGTTATCAGTTTGAAAAAAAATCTGTTACTATCAATGTCAATTCTTAGTTTGAAAAAATCATGCCCCCTGGGACTAGGGTGGCATCAAAATAGGGGGCCAGCATATTAAAAAGGAATATATTGGGAAAATCTTCTATTCAAGTTTGTGGTCATAGCCATCAGAGTTAGGCTGATCAACATGATGAAGAGAAATTGACTCAGGTGAGCTTTGTGGCCAATGGACCTCCTGTATTCTTTCAGATTTGTTGCTGCAGTTTATGTCCGGGATGAGTTTATTGTGGAAACTTTTGCCAGTACGAAGAAAGAGGCAAAGAAAAATGCAGCTGAACAGGCCCTGTACAGACTGATGGCGAACGACGAGGTAAGGATTGAAATATTCTTACAGACTGATGGCTAATGTCGAGGTAAACTAGGATCGAAAGCTTAAGCTTAAGCTTGCCCTGTAAATCACACTTCAAGAAGTTTATTCCTTGAATTTGTTAGTCTTATAAATCATTATGAATGAGAACTAATATTAATTTCTTGTAAAGACTTTTATCATATCAAAGTTCAAATTATATCAAAGTTCCGCTTATCCTGTTGCCCCCTGTGGCGCAGTGGTTAGAGTGTTTGGTCTAGAGTCGCTGTGTAAGGAGTTGATCCTTACATCGTTTTGGGTTCAGATCCCACTGTGGGACATGGAGACTGATCCTTCGGATCTCCGTGACCATATAAACCAAGGTCCTGTGTCGCAGTAGGTACTGACACGAAAAAGATCCCTCACTGCTCAATGGCCCTGGGTGCGGAGTATAGGTCTAAAGAACTCAATTCACTTTCTACCAAATACGGCCTAGCTGCTTGGTGAAAAATCAAGTGTCCTTAATTGAATTTTTCTGCAATTCATTTTCATCTTTAACACCTACTCTAATCGCATGTTACACAATTTTGATCAAACAGGATGCTGGCAATGCACAATAAAAGTCAAACCTATGCATGTATTTGATTTTTTCCGGAATTTCGCCCCCCTTTTGAACTTTGAGACGATATTTCTAATATAGCGCATTCCTCGCTGATCGGTTTCTAAGGTTTAAATAAAACATGAAATCGCCCCAAAAACTTTTCCGGCAAAAAAATCATCAGCGACGTTTGCGCTGTTATCGAAATAATACCGTTTGGCATTTTGCGGGAAGAAGAGAAACTGTCGTCTGTTCGGTTTATAACTTGGTGAAATACACAGTTGATGTCTCTGCCTATTATAGATGTTTCCTTGGTGTCATTTCGTAAACTAAGGCTGTAAGTATTTGTAAAACATTAAGTTTAGCACATTATTACCATTTGATACATAGATTTAAAGATTTTTACATTAATTTTAACCACAATACACATATCAGAGCTATCTTAATCCGCTGGTGAGCATATCTGATCCAAAAAAAAACTGTATACACGATATAAGATATATCTACAACTTATACATATGTTTCCAAATTTGAGACAACCAATATTTACCCTGGAGTTAACTGATATTAATTCTACGTAGATTCGAGTTTACATTGCACAGCGAGCTTTATTTACATTGTCCGCGAATCGGGGTTAGAAAAATTAGAATATTATATAATTATGTGTTTTACATTGTGCAATGATTACAAACATAGTAAGAAAATAAATTTTGGGCAGAAATAAGCATTTTGTTGTTTAATTACAGGTTTTTAAATATATTGTTAAAGAAATAAAGTTAGAACATGTATGTAAATAGTGTAAATTGTGGACTTTAACACTTTTTGTTTTCTTGCAAGGGAAGTCACTCTTAAAGATGGAGGACTTTCTTTATTCAACCTTTTCTCTAAAAATTAAGAGCAGAAAAACTAAAATAATATAAATTGATTTATATATTTATCTGCTGATATATGTCACTTTCAAAACTTCGGGAAATATCTCAAAGACATTATTTTCAAAAGTCCTGCCCCCCCCCCCTTTTTAGGCATTATACAATGGTTTTAATTGTATGTCTTACTTTAAATTTTACAATTAATAATGATTAATGATTAAAAGAAAACTAATTTAGAAAGAAAATACTATTCAACATTTGATAATATAATAAGTTGTTTTTCATTATTGATGTTAGGTCAACAATTAATTTGCATCACATGTCCTGCAGGTGAAACTGAACATGACTAGACTATAGTGTGGGCTTCCCTTTTGATGGATCTTTGGAATTGAACAAGATTATATCAACAGATAATCCTTTATGCTGATTGAATTTAATTAAAAGGTAAAATACACTGTATAATCAATTAATTTCTTTGGTTATTTATACATATTTAATTAATTCATTATTTAACTTTGGTGATAGTTTATCTGCCCATTTATTAGCTCATATGAACTGAAGCTCATTCTAAAGCTCAAATTCTGATCAAAATTGTCCATTGTCTGTCGTCATCGTTGGTGTTATTGTTATTGTAAATTTTCCACATTTTCATCTTCTCTTGAAGAATGAGCTAATTAATTTCAACCAAACAGCACATTAAATATCCTTGGGTGAGGGAGATTCAAGTTTCTTCTAATGAAAGGCCACACCCCGTTCCAAGTGGAGATACTAAAAAAAAAAAGCAAAAATAGGATAGGGTAAAAAATCTTCTTCTCAAGAACTACTGGACCAGAAAAGATGAAACCTATGTGAGATCGAGCTTCCTGATAAAATGTGAATTCAAGTTTGTTCAAATCAAAATCATGGCCCTTAAATTGTGATAGGAAATTCTACAACAGGGGATAAACATTTTACATAAAGGATACAACTTTTTAAAAAACTCTTTAAATTTTTTTACTGAGCAGGACCATGATTAGTCATATCAAAATACAAGCTAAATTAATTCCTAATGTAGTGCAGATTTAGGTTTGTTCAGATAATAGTCCCCAGGGGTAGGGTGGTGCCACAATAGGAGATCAAAGGTTCATATATATGAATTAAGATATAAGAAATATCTGTAAAAAATCTTCTGAGGGACAGCTGGCCATGATTAGTGTTATGCCAACAGCATCAATAATTGCAGGTTAAAGTTTCCTCAAATTATTGCCCCTAGGGAGAGGGTTGGCCCACAAACCTTATCTCTAGGGTTTTAGGTTGGGCCAAACTAAGGAATTAAATATGCCCATGGGCCTCTTGTTTAACATATTTAAGGGTAGGAAAGGAAAGATGATTTTGAAATTGAGAATGAACCCTATTGTGTTTGTCACATTAATCAATTTATTACACACTGAACATACAAACAAACAAAAATCTCCCATCATTAAATAGATTTATTTATTTTTTTTCTTTATCATTGATTCATAGATGCCAGGAAAAAAGTCTTATAAGTGCTTCCTCTGTCCTCGGAGAACAAAACAGACAGACAGATATGCTATTTCCAAGAGTCACAGATCTGTGGTTACCAGATTATCTGGAAGAACACCGAGTGAAGGAAGATTTTCTGTGCAACAAGTGCCGCCATATATGCAAGTCTAATGTGCAGGGATCTAAGAAAGGAAAAAACAAACTTCTGACATCTACATCTCAACCATCGTCTTCAACGCCTGCTAGTCCTCCTTCAGTACAGCTACCATTTCCCAGCACAGCGAGAGGCCACGCTTCCTGCTGTATATGTAACCTGGACCAAAACTCATTGTTGTTCCTGTTGACATAAGGCATCAAATATTTATTTCTAAGGAAATCATTATCCCGGCTGGAGCTAGATGTTGTCCTAATCACCTACAGGGAAACATTGGGGATCTTCAACCCATTTCTGAAACAACAACAGTTAATAGAACAACAATAGCTCAACTGGTGAAGTTTCTGAGGTCAGAAATTCAGAGGCAAGAGAAAACAAGACTTAATTTCAACAATGATGAAAGTCTCAGTGATGCTGAATATGTGGACCTTATGGGCATTTCCAAGGACTCATTTAAAGACTTGTTACATTATACTGAAGGAAAAGTTCGGCTAACTCCAACAAGATCCCTGAGGACAAGTTTAGCTATATTCCTTATGAAAATCAGAGGAGGGGAATCCAATCGAGTTCTTTCCACACTTTTCAATGTATCAAAATCAAGTACTAGAAGATGTATAAGTTCTGTGCGATCAGCTCTTGCAGGAAGATTTGTGTTAGAGAATTTGGGATTCCAGCACATTACACGTTCTGATGTCATACAGCATCACACAAGACAGATTGCCCAAACTCTTTTTGGAAACAGTCCAGCTGGAAATCAAGCAATTTTGGTTTTGGATGGGACATATATTTATATAAACAAGAGTGGAAATTTTCATTTCCAAAGACAGTCCTTCAGCTTACATAAGGGTCGCCCTTTAGTAAAACCCATGATCATTGTGTCAACAACTGGCCACTTTATATCAGTGATGGGTCCATATCTTGCCCGAAACAATGATGCCAGTATCATCAAGCATATCATGAAGTCCAACGTTGAGGACATTCGTAACTGGGTGCAAGAGGAAGATATTTTTATCGTTGATCGTGGGTTCCGCGACTCAATAGATTATCTGGAGGAACTTGGTATCCAAGCCCATATGCCTTGTTTCATGTCCAAAGGAGAGAAACAGATGTCCACAGAGAGTGCCAATACAAGTCGTCTTGTCACAAAGGTATGTGTGTGTGTGTGTGTGTGGTGTAGTCAGGGAGAAAGAGATTGAAAAGGGGGTTGGGAGAAATTATGATATCAAATTAATTGAAAGTTTACTTTGATGTATGTATATGAGAATTAGCATTTTTGGGTTTACAAAAAATTTCTTCTAATTTTTAGATTCGTTGGGTTGTGGAATCTGCGAACTCAAGGATCAAACAGTGGAAGTACCTAGGACATGTTTTGCCAACAAACCAGATTCCGTACATAGGAGATTTTATAAGGATTGTATGTTCTTTGTGCAATAGGTAAGGAATATACATGTAAATATTTTTATGGAATTATAATAACTTCTTAAAATATGAATGCAAATGTATTCCAATGTTTTATGTATCTGTTACAGATATCTCAAACCCCTCTCTCATGGGAATGCTGATGAAGAAGAAATTCTTGGATGTAAAATGCTGCATCTATCCAAGCAAGTTAATGTCTTACAACAACATGTGGAAGAGCAACACTTAGATCGACGCTCTGGATGCTGGGAACCAGTTGAAGATCTAAGAGGTATTTATCCTATGTACTAATGTTATACAATGCATTCTGTTCTCTAGTTGTTATTGTTTCAATACTTTTCAAAAAAATTTAGCAAATTTAGAGAATTTTAAAAATACACATTGTTACATTTATTACTAATGAAGATTGGTTTGGGATATTTTATGCCATTATGTAGTTTATATGCAGATCAACCATGATGTTTCGAATTTGTGTATTAGGTTTTCCATATCTGGATGAAGAACAACTTCGGAACCTAACTTGTGGGACATACCAGCTTCGACTCTCACCCAATTATGCACAGGAGCACTTGGAAGGTGACTGTCATATACAAGTGCACAAAGAGGAGCCAGGTCTTGTCAGGGTTCGGCTACAGAGTCGGCATGTCTCATCAAGATCGTACCAATTATGGATTAAATATGATGAAGGAAATATTATTGCATGGTATTGTAAATGCAGAGCTGGAGCAAGGGTTGTTGGAATGTGCTCCCACATTGCTGCCATTCTGTGGTTTCTAGGAAATGCCCGACACAATATCCAGACTGGGTTTGGTGTTCGAAACTGGGGTGACTTTGTTGAAGATGCAAACAACATTCCAACTCCAGTTGATGAAAGTGAATCTTCGGATGAAGGAGACAGTGAAACAGAAGAATAAAGACTGCGGACCTTATTGTGTTTGGTACATGTGCTGTTTACAGTCTTTATCATATAATTTTATATGTAAATAATATTTTCTCTTCAATTTTCATGTATAAATTTACTGTGTTAGTGTTTTATCAGATGGGACAGTGGGCCCCTCAATATGTAAATTACTTTTTAAATTCAATTTTCTTGTTCAATTACCCTATGAGTGTTATGTCGGATGCGGCAATGGGCCACATCATATGTAAATAATTTTTTTTATTCAATTTTCATGTTTGATTTACTGTGTGAGTGTTATGTCGGATGCGGCAATTGGCCGCTCCACGTGTAAATATTTTTTTATATAATTTTCATGTTTGATTTGCTGTGTGAGTGTTATGTCGGATGCGGCAATTGGCCGCTCCATGTGTCAATATTTTTTTATATAATTTTCATGTTTGATTTACTGTGTGAGTGTTATGTCGGATGCGGCAATTGGCCGCTCCATGTGCAAATATTTTTTTATATAATTTTCATGTTTGATTTGCTGTGTGAGTGTTATGTCGGATGTGGCAATTGGCCGCTCCATGTGTAAATATTTTTTTATTTAATTTTCATGTTTGATTTACTGTGTGAGTGTTATGTCGGATGCGGTAATTGGCCGCTCCATATGTAATTGAATTTTTTAATTTAATTTTCATGTTTGATTTACTGTGTGAGTGTTATGTTGGATGCGGCAATTGGCCGCTCCATGTGCAAATATTTTTTTATATAATTTTCATGTTTGATTTGCTGTGTGAGTGTTATGTCGGATGCGGCAATTGGCCGCTCCATGTGTAAATATTTTTTTATTTAATTTTCATGTTTGATTTACTGTGTGAGTGTTATGTCGGATGCGGTAATTGGCCGCTCCATATGTAATTGAATTTTTTAATTTAATTTTCATGTTTGATTTACTGTGTGAGTGTTATGTCGGATGCGGCAATTGGCCACTCCATAATTATGTAAATAATTTTTTATTCAATTTTCATGTTTGATTTATTGTGTGAGTGTTATGTCGGATGTGGTAATTGGTCGCTCCATATGTAAATGAATTTTTTTATTTAATTTTCATGTTTGATTTACTGTGTGAGTGTTATGTCGGATGCGGCAATTGGCCGCTCCATATGTAAATGAATCTTTTATATTTAATTTTCATGTTTGATTAACTGTGTGAGTGTTATGTTGGATGCGGCAATTGGCCACTCCATAATTATGTAAATGATTTTTTATTCAATTTTCATGTTTGATTTATTGTGTGAGTGTTATGTCGGATGTGGTAATTGGTCGCTCCATATGTAAATATTTTTTAAATTTAATTTTCATGTTGGATTTACTGTGCGAGTCTTGTGTTGGATGCGGTGATGGGCAGCTTCACATGTAATTTTTTTCTTTAATTTTCACATACGCATTGTACAATTTTCTGTACGAGTCTTATGTTGGTTGAAGCACATGTAATAGACTGCTAAACATGTGATTACTTTCTTTATCTATTTTCACTTAGAATCTCCTGTGTGAGTGCTATGTTGGGTGCAGTGATGGCCACTCCATATGTAGACTATTTCTTTCAACTTTCATGTAAAACCTTCTTTGTGAGTGTTTCTGATGAAAAGTCAGCTGTTTCAGTACTCAGTCAGGTGTATGGTAATGAGCCACTCATTGCATGTAGACAGTATGATGACTTAATGTAAAATTGTACTTTGAATTCTTTATATTGAATTAAAAATTTCTTTTTTATTAATTTTGCAATAACTAGTTGTTTTTTTTCTTTTAAAACAATGATATATGCAGCCTTTCTTTTATAAAAAAGAGAAAGCTAGGAAACAAAACATGCAGAGAGAGAGAGAAAGAGAGAGAGAGAGATTCTTTGCATTGAATAAAAAGGTTTTTTTATTTTTGCAAAACCTAGATTTATTCCTTTTATTTTAACACAATGATATTGCAGACTTTCTTTAATTAAAAAAAGAGAATTTAAAGGAAACAAAACACGGAGAGAAAGAGAGAGAGAGAGAGAGTACTTCATTATGCTAAGATATTATCCATTACCAAGTGTAGCACTCTAGAATCCCGGCTGGCCTGCTTTTCCGCTATTTTATTTTTGGAACCTTGTTGTTTTCCGCGATGACTTTATACTGCTTTTCCGCGATTTACTATATGTAATGTGTTTTCTCCTTTTTTATACTTCCTTTCCGCGATTTTACTCACATGGTGTTAAAAATTAAATGAATCTCTCATTTCACATTTGTCGGTGATAGGTTTTAGATGTAAACAATATGGAAATTGAATCAGGGGGAAAATGTATAATCTACGATGGATTTCCAATCAGAAAAGTTTTAAGGAATGGGGATGTGTCATACCGATGCAGCATTCATAAAATCTGCAAAGCCACGATTAAAACCTCCCTGTGGTAAGCAAGGGGCAACAGGTTTTATCTGGCTAACGGAACATGCGGAAGTCAAGAGGTACGGAAAAGCTATAAATTATAATCGTGGAAAAGCAGTAAAACTTGTCGCAGGAAAGCTGTGTTGAATCGCGGAAAAGTGATACTGCGAGAACCCCCAGTGTTTCTATGCTAAAAGCGACTGATTAATGATCCATGCAGTTGTGCACTACTAACTGCTCACCATACGATTTTACTACAACCTAGATAGCACACGGCAGAGGGTGACTGAAAATCGAAAGGTGCATATACTACTTAAGCAAACAAGAGAGCAAATTAGATGTAGATAGGAATGACAACATTGATCATTTACATGAATTATTGTGCAAACAGATGAGGTACACACCATTTAATTGTAAAATGATTAATTGAGACAAGACTTTACTTTCATTATTATTATTTTAAAAATGAATTAACATTTCACTTATGATTAGTTCATGCTTTATGAGATGATTCTGCAATCTTTTAATTATATACATATAAATAAAACTAATGGGAAATAGATGGTAATAATTTTAAGCCAATATCCCTTTATCCTTCTACACATTTGTAAGAAAATAATTGATTCTTTTTCATGTATAAATCTCTAGATATATATAGAATGCCATGACCTCGTATTTGATTTTTTTAAATAATCAAATGTTTGACACTTCAATAAATCACAAAAATAGCTTTAAGTTAGGAAGTAAATACTTTTTATCCCAAGTTTCAGAAATTCTTGGAAAAATCTGGTAAAATTTTTCCAAATAGTTGAATTAAGGCCTATTTTGATGGATTGTCATCCATTAACATTCATATATTACCTTGTATAAATAATGTAACGTCATGACGTTATAATATATAAAATGTCAACGTCATGACGTTCTGTGGTATTGGAATACAATACCAAATTCAAACGACTGTAAAAAGAAAACTAGAAAAGATATTGTTAAAAAATAAATTGTGTTATAACCTACAAATCTTCCAGTTTGATTTGAGAAAGTTTCATTTATTTTGGCAACTAGGCCGATTTTGGTACTTCGTGGCTCTACCTCTTTGCAGTCCTCCACTGGGAAGTGGTGTGCATCTCCATATGAGTGAAAAATTCTCGAGAGGGATGTTAAACAACAAACAAAGAATTTATCCTAAAGCATAGAGTATTAATAAATTTAGATGTAAGAATTTATTTTATCTTGACATGGTAGTTAAATATCTTGAAACATGTTATAGATTCATCAGGTGCTCTTTTTTTCAGATCATCAAGAACCAGACAATAAGTATGACAATGGAAGACAAAATGGCAGAGGTTTGCTTTAGGCATGCTCATAAAATACTCAACATAGTCCCAGTAATCCTACAGAAGGATCTTCATCTGGCTGCATTTCTAGTCAAAAGAGGTACTCCACTCAGAAAACAGACAAAACGACTAAATTCTGATGATTTATGTACTTTTTTTTATTTTTGGAGTTATTGCACTTTGAGTGTATTGTAACAGGTGATGCAGTGGGGGACATCGTGGCTTTGGGGACCGGGTCCCGCACTCTGTCCAGCGAGAGCTTTACCAGGGACGGCAGATGTCTGGTAGACAGTCACAGTGTTGTCATGGCAAGGAGGGCGTTTCTAAAGTAAGGCTTTCATTATTGTGTAGTAGTACCCTCATTATACATTTATATATCAATTTACAACTTAGTTATGACAGACACTGCATTACTTTATCCAGAATAGGTCAGTATATTTGTGTAGGTCAGCTGTTACATTATTTTGTCTTTAGATGGTTGTGTACACATCAACACATATGCTTTTTATATGCCCATTTTATATCATTTGATATCTGTTGCATATTCCATATACTTAAAAATATTATATGAACTTTCATATGAAAGATATACAATGTATATACAGTGGAGCCTCCTTAATCTGGTGTCCAATAATCCAGATGCTTCACCTTCCAGACAAAATTTGTGGTGAACAATTTATATTCTTAATTTATATACCAATTAATTGTTTTATTAATCTAGATAGATAATCTGCTTGGGAACACAAGCATCTAGATTAAGGAGGCATGACTATACAGAAATATCTTCTGGTAATTTTATATATACCAGCTGTATACATGAAATATCTTCAGGCATTACAAGATCCAAAATTTTGGTTCTGTATAAAAAAAAATAGCACACCTAACTCATTAGTTCTTATCATGTTGACTCAGCAAACCTACTTCTATATCAGTGTATATACTCCTCTAGTTTTCTATATATATGATTAATAAGAAATACTTTGATTTTTTAACATTGTATTTTTACTCTTAAGGTGAATGTTAACTAAACATTGGCAAATGTAAATACATGTATTTGACATAAATAGGTTGAAACAATCATAGAAATTTTAAATTTGTGTAGGTTTGCTTTTTTTTAAGCTGTAGACAATACACCATGAAGTGTTTAATTGATGACTCTTTATGACAAGAGATACTTTTGGCTTGCAATGATATTTTGTGTTGCTATTATTTTAATACTTTATGAACCTGTATTAAACTCCAAAGTCCAACTATTAAGAATTAATATAGAATTAAAAATTATTTTTAAAAAATCCTTAAAAATATTTTATCCCTTTTAAAAAGAGACAGAAATATTAGTTTTTTTTCTTTATGTTTTATGAAAATTAATTATTGCAAATATCCTATAGATGTTTTATCTATTTATAAAAGAGGCATCAGCACGAAGACTTATAATCATCTAGCCTTTTATTTTTTTTTTTATTTTCTTAGTCATTTTACAGGAAAAAATAAACCTTACAGGAAACAGGAGAAATTAATGATTCTTATACTTGTACAAAAGTAACACTTGAAATTGTTATAGAATGTGACAGATAAAAACCTTAGATATATTAAGGAATTTACACAATAGAAACCACATGTTTATGATAAATTAGTTTTAAAAATATAGCATTGTTCTGGATTGATAGGGATAGCAGATGTGAGTATTTACTCAAAGTTCTCACACTGACAGAAACAAATCCTTGCACTCAAAGTTCAATGATTTATTGCTTTGTCTATATATGTATGTTGTCATACATTAGTACATGTACACCTAGCTTCCTGGTGCAGCACAAATCTACTCCCTTTTTAGTTTTATAGCAACTAGATGAAATCCCGCGCAAGCGCGGGGAAATGAATTTATACCAATACCGACAGAAAAATTCCAATAATATATATATTGTAGTTTCTAGTGACAGAAGAAATACTTTGTTCAAAATCTTACATGAAGTAGATATGTACGTCTCCACCCCCACCCTTTTGTAAAAACTTGAAAAATAACAATTTCATTAATTGACGTTTATTGTGAAACCTGTTATACTATGTTACGGATATTGTACTTCAGATGCTATTATTTCATTTCCGTCAAGAATAAAAACAAAAGCAACGAATATACACGTTTTACTGATAGACTGATATTTTTTTTTTTTTGTAAAAAATTCAGAGGTACTTGGGTCCTGGTTTATAAATATGTATGTACCTTATTGATATGTAAAAAATGTACTGTACTCTTTTTTTTTTTTTTTTTTTTTACATATCAATAAGGTACATGCATATATATGAACCAAGACCCAAGTACCTGTGTAAAAATTAGCATTTAACGCCCTGAATAGTCCGAGTATTTGATACAAAAGACTATTCAGAAAAAAACTGAAATGTATTGATTAAAGCACAAAATTTACAGCTTTAATTGTATATGAACAATACCTTATTCATTAATTTTCTCTTTTCATGTAAGCAAAATTGTTACGAAGTACAAATTGTACTTCGGGTTCGTTGCCAGGATGCTCTCAGTGAGGAATATACAAAGTTTACCGATAAATCTATTACGAAAACCTACTATATATATGTAATAGTCTTTCGATATATAAATATATTCACAACTTATAGTGTTATCAATGATTTACCATTATTTCAATGACCATACAAAAATGTTTTTTTATGTTCATGCAGCTACATGTATAATCGCCTAGTTTTTCTTTTTAACATCGGGCTCGATGCTATATGATGTTCTAGAAGCTTCCGTCAATATTAAGATCGGTGAATGTCGAAAATAATTTGCACATTTCCCTTTTTAATCGGTTATCACAACTTATTTCTTTTATATCATTTAAATCAAGTTTTGATTGAATAACCCAGTGATGACGTTTTATGAGATAAAGTAAACGATTGCTTGTTATCAGTTTCATTAAAAATTGCCAGTAACTTAGATCCGCCAACCGGAACCGCCACCGTACTCACATTTTTGCTATTTCATGGCTGTTTATAGAAAATGAAAGTAGACTTTTAATTTTTTGTACGATACTTACTGTGCGAGTGAAATCTAAATATAGTTTACGGACATCATCTTGTATTTTGTGTATTCTTGGAGGAGTAAGTAAGAACTCTGGTGCACCCGTTTCGAAGTTTATTTCCAAAATTTATTAATTTATAAGTATAGATATTATTTATGCTCAAACAAGCTGTCAAATAAGACTGAAATATAAAAATTGTCAATGCATTCTGTCTGCATCTCATGAAGTTGATTGTTATGTTATATAAGGCTGTACATATTGAGTTTATCTAGTGTAGGTTGTTATTGTGTTATATAAGGCTGTACATATTGAGTTTATCTAGTGTAGGTTGTTATTGTGGTATACAGTGTTCTACGTAAACAAAATAAATAACTAAAAAGCTGATTCGTGATGAGAAATATTTTTAATTAAAGAAAGGTTGCAAAACTTGCAATAATTTCTCACATGTGACATTGGTTTACAGCATTGAAACATTGAATTGTGTTTTATTTTTCATTGCAATTTGTCAAAATCAAATACAACACAAATATTTAAGAATAATACAACACGTTATTTGAGAATTATAGTCATGATCAGATCATACAGCGCAGTGGTTAGAGTATCTGCTCTAGAGTTGCGAAGTAAGGAGTTGATCCTTATGTTGCGGGTTCGAATCCCACTGTGGGACGTGGAGACCGGTCCTTCAGATGAGACCTTATAAACCGAGGTCCCGTGTCGCAGAAGGTGCTGGCACGAAAAAGATCCCTCACTGCTCAATGGCCGTAAGTGCCAAGTATAGGACAAAATTTGCAGCTCTCCACCACCAAGTGGTGGCGTCTCCGTATGAGTGAAAAATTCTCAAGAGGGACGTTAAACAATAAACAAACAAACAATCAGATCATACCAAACTTTACACAATAATCTTTGTTTGTACTCCATATAAACATCGTTGTGATATACAGACATCATTTTTTGCTCACCTGAGCTGAAAGCTTCTTCTCAAAAACCATTGGGCCAATTCTAACAAAGTTTGGCACAAAACATCCTTGGGTAACGGGAATTCTAAATTATTCAAATGAAGGGTCAAGCCTGCTTCCTATGGAGATAATCAAAGAAAGGCAAAAACAGGGTGGGGCTATGTAAAAAATTTTATTTCAAGAACCACAAGGCCAGAAAAGATGCTAGATTCTAAATTGTTCAAATCATGACCACCAGGGTTAGGATGGGACCACAATATGGGATGAAAGTTTTACATTAAAATAATTAAGAAAAATCATTTGTATGCTGACACATATTAGTGATAACTATTGGACCTTGACCTCTATTTTCTTAAATTTGTGTTTAGCTAATTTTCATAGAAACTATTCATAATATTTTTATCAAATTTTGTATGCTGACACATATTAGTGATAACTATTCCACTGCCTCAACATTTTTGGACCTTGACCTTCCCTTTGATCTTGACCTCACTTTTCATAAATTTGCATTTAGCTCATTTTCAAAGAAACTATTCAAGATTTATTAGGTCACCTGAGTTACTCAGTGACCTATTGCTATCTGTTTTCGTCCGTCATCGTGCGGGTGTGCGTCGTGCGTAAACTTTTCACATTTTCGACTTCTTCTCAAGAACCACTGGGCCAATTTTCAGCAAACTTGCCACAAACTATCCTTGGGTAAAGATGATTCAAGTTTGTTGAAATGAAGGGCCATGCCTTCTTCCAAGGGGTGATAATTAAGAATTAGTGAAAAATTAAGAACAAGTGGACCAGGTATGATGAAATTTGTATGGAAACATCCTCAGGTAGTGTAGACTCAAGTTTGTTCAAATCATAACCCCCGGGGGTAGGGTGGGGCCACAATGGAGGATCAAAGTTTTACATAGAAATATATAGGAAAAATCTTTAAAAATTTTCTTGTCAAGAACAGCTAAGCCCTGATTGCTCATATTTATGTGGAAGCATCCTCAGGTATTGTAGATTCAAGTTTGTTCAAATCATGACACCCATGGGGTAGGGTGTGACCACAATGGATGATCAATGTTTTACATGGAAATATATAGGAAAAATCTTTAAAAATCTTCTTCTCATGAACAGCAAAGCCATGATTGATCAATATATGGAAGCATCCTCAGGTAGTGTAGATTCAAGTTTGTTAAAATCCTGAAACCCCCCCCCCCCCCCCCCCCCCCGGGTAGGGTGGGGCCACAATGGGGAATCAAAGTCTTACATAGGAATATATAGGAAAATTTCTTCTTCTCAAGAACTGCAAAGCCATGATTAATCATTTTAATATGATCAAAGTTTTACATAGAAGTACATAAAAAAAATCATTAAAAATTGAAAAAATTCTTTTCTCAAGAACAGCAAAGCCATGATTGGTTATGTTTACATGGAAACATCCTCAGCTAGTATAGATTCAAGTTTGTTCAAATCATGACTCTGGACTCTTGGGATAGGGTGGGGCCACAAGGGCAAATCAAAGATTTACAAAAGCTTCTTCTATCAGTTTATTTTATACTCTATGGATCTTCTATAGATTGTTGTTTTATACTCAGGTGACCGTTAAGGCCCTAGGGCCACTTGTTTATCAAACCTTATAGGCTGATGCATAATGGTGAGAGCTATTCAACTGCATCAACATTTTTAGACCTTGACCTTTCCTTTGACCTTGATTGTATTTTCATTGAACTTCATTCACTAATACAAATATGTGAGAGCTATTCAACTGTGTCATAATTTTCTGACCTCAACCTTCCCTGTGACCTTGCTTGATCTCACTATTTCTCATTTAGACAATCTTAAACAAAGAAGCAAGAACATTTCTTTTCATGTTGCTTAATGAACACTGGGTGGGGAATTCATGTCCTATATGGACATTTCATGGACACCAGGTTAGAGTTGGCCAAAATCAAATCAAATTTTACATAATGGATATATACAGGAGAAGAATTTTTTTCTCTATAGATTCTGGCCATGTTAGTCATTTCAATATTGAATCACCCTCATGGCGTGTGGATTTAGAGTCTTCTTAGAGTTAGGGTGGGGTCATAATTTTTCAAGGGAATATTAAAATCTTTTAAAAATCTGATGAAGAACAGCAGGGGTAAAGTAACTCAGATGAGCATTGTGACCCATGGGCCTCTTGTTTACAGAACTATCATTTGGATGTACAGTGTATGTTTTCTAAAGAAAAAATCACTTTTTAATAAAGTTTGATTGTTGATATTGTAGATACCTGTATAAAGAGGCCAAAAGTTACTTTGAGGGCAGTAAAGTGTTGTCCATATTTGAGCAGGAATCAGAGAAGTCACTCAGTCTGAAGTTGAAGGATCACATCTCCATTCATCTGTACATGAGTCACCCCAGCTGTGGAGATTACGCTTACTATGTGGAGGAACTGTAAGTCTGTATTATTTGATCAGTGATTAGAATTATTTGGTAAGTTGTGTTCATCTCCATTCATCTGTAAATGAGCCACCCCAGCTGTGGAAATTAAGTTTACTGTGTAGACAAGTCACAATTACTGTAAAATCTCATACTTTCATGGTGTCAAATATTAGTGGTTTTATTAAAAAATATTGGATTGAGGGGGTTTGATTATATGGTGAAGAAGTGCTCAGTTGTTATATGTTTGATGTGGTTCATTTCCAGGAGAACATGAATTCATGGGTTTCTTCATATACTATGACATTACTGTGCTAGTAAGTTAAACTGATAGCTCATAAGATAACAGCCATGATTATAGAACTAATCTCTCTGCACATTACTGGGTATTAGAATTTCAAGTGAGCCAGCACACTTTATCATATATTTAAATATTCTAAAGCCCTCATAGTATGTTGTCTCTTTTGGGTTTGGAGAGAAACTAAAACATCGGGATTTTTTTTAATTATTCCCCTTGTCCTAATCTTTAAATGATTTATGATTCCTGATACATGTATTACAACAAAGTATATGCAGGCAACTCAGTGATCCAGTGGACTTTCCACAATACAGTTTTCTAGACTTAGTACTGACTGTACTGTACAGAGGAAATCACTACAAGTTGAGCATGTTGAGTATGTTCAGAGTCTGGTGGAAAATCAGAATTTATTTAGGTTCATTTGAATTGATACATGAGTTTACATGCATATTAATATAACATAAATAAAAGGTTAAAATCTGCCTCAGACTTGTACAGATAGGAAGAAGGAAATGCTATACACTGTAAATTGTTTTATTTGCATGATCTTGTAAATGTTTTCAGCAGTGACAATTAGTTACTCTAAATTTGTTTTCTTGTTTCAGTAAATAAAAAAAATTTATTTTAGATGTAATTTTAATATTGATACAAAAACCTGGTGTGAAAATTCAATTGTATTTATTTCTGTGTAACTTTCTAAGAACAGCAAGGAAATAAGCTGGTTGAAAATCAATTGTATGATAAGCAGTGCCATTTCCTGTTAGATTTATATTTACCAGACATCAAGAACACTTAACATTCCAATCACATGTTGAATTTCTAGTAGATAATTTTTTATGCAGTGAAGTTACCGGTATTTGTGCAGGACACATTTCACCCTTGTAATAAAAGCAACGAAGTTACAAAAACTTTTAAAGTCAAGTAAATCTTGTGTTTGTGTACTAGATTTGATTTTTAATTTTATTGCGTACTAGATTTGATTTGTAATTTTATTGCGTACTAGATTTGATTTGTAATTTTATTGTGTACTAGATTTGATTTGTAATTGTATGATACACATGTACATGTAGTATCAGAAATAAATAAGCATGTATTTTGATTCTTTTACAGACCTAATCGCCCACTGACACCAACAACAGAAGGTTTGGTCAGTAAAGGTGCACATGTACCGGCCTTCAGTGAGGACCTGCCCGGCTGGTTCTGTACAAAGAATGAGGACGGTGAGACTGGGGATAGGCTCTAGCAGTTAAAAGCTTGATAGTAGATGCCTTTTATTTATTTGAGTTAAATCAGTATTAGAGTACTGAGAATTGTACATCAGGCATGCTACTGCACATTGGTGTTCAGGCCTTACAAAATATATTTAAAAGGGCCACCATTAAAAGGGTCACATGTTGTATTACCGGTATTTGTTACAGCTTTGATTCTGTTATTGTGTAGATGGGCGTTAATATTAGCTAGGAGTTCACCTAATATGGAATGCCCCATCCAGGGAGCCAGTGACTCATTGTTTCTAAATCACAGATTCTAGTTAAGTGTTGGCTTTGTTTTTGTTAGTATACTGGAAAGGATCTCTTTTGAACTGAATTTTCTGTACCTGATAATGAACCTTCAATGTATGAATGTGTTATAATAATAATAATAATAAAACTTTATTTAAAGAAGGTAACCTGGTTAGTGCATGCACTATTCTTCCCCAGGGCCTTCTATATATCAATTACAAAGATAAACAAGTACACATGTAAATATACAATTCAAAATAAAACAGATAGAGTCTTAAGGAATTACAATCACAAAATTATGAATAGAGTGTCCATGTCTGGTAATATGTACATACAACTAACAATCACATTGTAGATAGGATATCAAAATCTTACTGTGCTCAAATAATTGTACGGCAGCTGATAATGTAATTTTCTACATTACACTTAAATGCTTGTAGAGATTGAGAGAGTCTTATGTGCTGGGGAAGTTTATTCCATAGGTGCACACCTGAGTACTGAAAAGAGGTCTTGAATAAGTTTGTACGGAACTTAGGTAATTTAAGGTCATAATTAGTTTCAGATCGCAGGTTATAAGAAGCTGAGGAGTGAAATTCAAATAAATTACAAAGATATTCGGGAGTCATTCCGCTGAAAATTTTGTATAATAATATGTATTTGTATAGATCAACTAGCTCATAAACTGTTAACCATCCAAGTTTCTCAAACAGTGGTTTAGAAGAAGAATCAGGACTTGCATCAAGAATAATCCTGGCTGCCCTTTTTTGTAATTTAAATAGTCTACCCATGTCCTGCTTGGGGGCATTACCCCAAATAGTCAAACAATAGTTAATAGATGGTAGAATATAAATAAGCATTGTAATATAGTTTTCTAGTATGTAGGGGAAGAAATTTTTTTATCTTACGTAGAGTAAATAACTTATGGTTTATGGTTTTACTAACTGAATCTATATGATTTGCATACTGTAACTTATCATCAATATGTACACCAAGAAGTTTCTCAGTTTCAACCATTTCAATTGTTTTGTCTGAGGCATAAAGTTGTAAATTTGGATTATCTAGTTTTGATTTTCTTTGCTGTGTCCCCATTAGCATACATTTTGTTTTGTCTACATTTAATACCATTTGGTTTTGAGCACACCATTTCTCAATCTCGCAAAGATCTGAATTTAGTGTATTTTCTAAACATCTTGCATTATGATTATTAGAATACAGAGTTACATCATCAGCAAACATATCAATATTTGAATTGTTTACATGTAATGGAAGATCATTTATGTACAATAAAAATAAAAGTGGACCCAAAATTGAGCCCTGAGGTACTCCTGCTGTGACGGGTAGAATATTGGAGACACATGTTCCAAATTTAACACACTGGGTCCTGTGGTAAAGATATGACTTAAACCACTTTATAGCTGTATGGTCAAATTTGTAATGGGTTAATTTCTCTAGAAGAATATTATGATTAACCAAATCAAATGCTTTACTAAAATCTATAAATGTAATACTGATTAGTTCACCACGATCCATTGCATTAAGCCAACTTTCTGTTAGTTTTGTAAGTGAAGTTTGACACGAATGGAGTTCTCTAAACCCCGACTGGGATTGTGTTAGTAGATTAAATTCATTAGTGAATTTTTTTATTAGCTTAGCTACATGTTTTTCTATCAATTTAGATATAGTCGGTAGAATAGAAATTGGACGATAATTATTCGGGTCAGCTTTGTCACCTTTCTTAAAAATAGGTGTTACTTTGGCTTGTTTTAAATTTGTCGGGAAAATACCACTTACTATGCTAGTGTTAATAAGATGAGTTATAGGTTTACATATATATTTAGATGCGACTTTCAAAAGACGCGGTCCAATAAAGTCAACGCCAGCTGATTTATTGATATTAAGAGAATTTAACATGTTAAAAACTTCACTTTCCTCAATTAAATGAATACTAAAAAAGGTTTCATCATCAAGCTTAGACCTAACAAAATTACGTAATATATTTGGATCATACTCATGTTTTGGCATTTCCAAAAGAAGCTTGTTTGAGACATCTGAAAAGTGGTTATTAAAAGTATTTGCAATATCCTGTAAATTATCAATAATTCCCCGGTTAGAAAACACATGAGATGGAGTTATATTCTTTGAATTACATGTTAATTGATTAAGATAGTTCCACATTTCTTTGGGATTTGAACTCTGTTCAATCGCTGTTTTATAGTATGAAGATTTTGATTAATCTATAAGAAGACTAACTTTGTTCCGATAAAGTCTATAGTTTTCCATATCTCCTTCTTTGTGGTAAGAGTCACGTAAGTGTCTAGCATCGTTTATTTCTTGTGTCATCCATTTGGGATGGATTTCACTCTTCACTCGTTTGGTTTTAACTTGTGCATGCTGGTCAAGTACGCTATTAAATAATTCATAGAATTCAGTTAGTATTTCATTAGGGTCATGCATCTGGAGGAGATTGTTAAAGTCTACATCTTTTAAGTTTTGGAGGAATTTATTTTCATCAAACTTTTTGAAATCTCTATACTGAATTTCTATGTGTTTTCCTTTTTGCTGCATGCATTTAGTTTTTCTAGTGGCACATATTGTAGTGATCAGAGATGGCTATAAAAGGTACATTCACTTCACACATGTTATCTGGTTTATTGGTGTAAAAGTGATCTATTAGGGTACTTGAGGTATTAGTTACTCTAGTTGGTGCTGTAATTAATTGTGAAAAACCAAACTCTTCTAAAGCATATGTCCAACTTTGTGGGGTTCTTTGAATAAGTCTATATTAAAATCACCTGTTAAGATAATTTCTGCATCGTCACAGCAGGAGGCACAATTTATTTCTCTAGCCAGATCCTCCGCCCAGCAGGAGGGAGCAGATGGTGGACGATATGCTGAACAGTAATAAATTGGTTTAGAATTCCTTGTATTTAATTCCAGCCAAATTGTTTCTATATTACCAATTTCAAAATCAGGTCTACGTTTGTATCTTATATTATTAGAAATATATACCACAATTCCACCACCTGCCCTCAATGTGCGATCCTTCCTTTCCATATCAAAACCATCAATATTCAACTCAGAATCACTAATGTTATCATTCAAAAAGGTTTCACAAAGTCCTAGAATATTAAGAGTTTGTTTGTTTTGGAGCAGAATTTTAATTTCTTCAGTTTTGGGCATTAGGTGGCAAATGTTCAGGTTCCCAAATTTTAAGCCTTTTTTAATCAAACCAAATTCATTATTGCTTTTAGTGTTATTAGTTTAAATCTTTCCACTTCTTGATATATGTTGAAGGGATGTTTGAACCATTTGACCTTTCTACCTTGTAATATCTTTTGTGGGGATTGTTGACTTTCCTTTATTTGATATCTGTTGTAAGTTTAAGCCAGTTGAACTTTCCTTCGTGTGATATCTGTTGTAGGATTAAGCCAGTTGACCTTTCCTTTGTGTGATATATGTTGTAGGATTAAGGCAGTTGACCTTTCCTCTGTCTGATATCTGTTGTAAGATTAAACCAGTTGACCTTTCCTTTGTATGATATCTGTAGTAGGATTAAGCCAGTTGACCTTTCCTTTGTATGATATCTGTAGTAGGATTAAGCCAGTTGACCTTTCCTTTGTATGATATCTGTTGTAGGATTAAGCCAGTTGACCTTTCCTTTGTGTGATATCTGTTGTAGGATTAAGCCAGTTGACCTTTCCTTTGTGTGATATCTGTTGTAGGATTAAGCCAGTTGACATTTCCCTTTGTGTGATATCTGTGGTAGGAATTGTTGAGCCAGTAGACCTCTCCACTATATTGTGTGATATTGGTTGTAGTGATTATTGTGCCAGTTGAGCTTTCCACCATATTTTGTGTTGTTTGTTGTAGGGATGGTTGAGCCTGTTGAGGAGCACCAGAAACCTCAGGATATGGATGAGATTGAGTCTGGGGAGGACCTGCTGGTCATGTCCTGTAGTGACCCTGTATTGTGTGTGTCTGTTGTAGGGATGGTTGAGCCTGTTGAGGAGCATCAGAAGCCTCAGGCTGTGGATGAGATTGAGTCTGGGAAGTGTCTGCTGGACATGTCCTGTGGTGACACTGTATTGTATGTTGTCTGTTGTAGGGATTGTTGAGCCTGTTGAGAAGCACCAGAAGCCTCAGGATGTGGATGAGATTGAGTCTGGAGAGGACCTGCTTATAATGTCCTGTATTGACACTGTATTGTGTGTTTTCTGTTGTAGGGATGGTTGAGCCTGTTGAGGAGCATCAGAAGCCTCAGGATGTGGATGAGATTGAGTCTGGGGAGGACCTGCTGGTCATGTCCTGTAGTGATACTGTATTGTGTGTTTTCTGTTGTAGGGATAGTAGAGCCTGTTGAGGAGCATCAGAAGCCTCAGGATGTGGATGAGATTGAGTCTGGGGAGGACCTGCTGGTCATGTCCTGTAGTGACACTGTATTGTGTGTTTTCTGTTGTAGGGATGGTTGAGCCTGTTGAGGAGCATCAGAAGCCTCAGGCTGTGGATGAGATTGAGTCTGGGGAGGACCTGCTGGTCATGTCCTGTAGTGACAAACTGTTACAGTGGAATGTGTGTGGCCTCCAGGGGGCGCTGCTCAGCTACTTTATTTCACCTGTGTATCTGTCTTCTATCATTGTAGGTAAGTATCCAAACAGCTTTTTAAAGGGGGAGTTTTGATAAGGCCGCTCAGCGGCCCACTTTTTTTCATAAAAATAAATTTCATTTTATTTTTTCAAAACTAGTTTAGAATTCAAGATAAATATGTTAACTTTTGTTATTTATATTTCAAAAGTTAATATGAGATGAAATCACGCCGTAGCTGATACATACTAAGATGTACCCTCAGATCCGTTAACATTAGACTTATGGGAAAATATAAGAGGGTGGCATTTATAAATCGATGTTTAGAATATGAAGTGCATGAGGGACACTCACCTAAATTTGTTCAGTAATTAGATATACTCTGCACACTAATTTCTTGAAATATGATGAGTGTCGCGTGTGCACTTCATATCCAAAAATTGAAAATTGCATAAAATTTGCATATCTAAAATTAGAAACCCTGGTTTCTTCATCTGACTTTGTGTTAAAATACTAAGCCAAAAGTAGCATTTTTTTTTAAATCAAAGAAGATTCTCGATTATATTAACAGTAGAAAATATTATCATATCCTATCTTCCTTTCGTTATTTTTATGTCGCCAACGTATAACATTAACGTCACATTTTTAGCTCACCTCCACGAAGGTTTGGGGAGCTTTTGTAATACCGTCGGCATCGGTGTTTCTGGTAAAAGTTTTTGAAGCAGATTTTTTTTTCAAGTATATATATGCCCTTCATTAATCAGAGTCACATGATCTAGCGTGTTTCCTTGTCACCAGTCAGGTTTCAGATGCTGCATTTTTAGCCAAAGAATGTCCAGGTAAATGTTTTAAAAGCAGATTTAAGTTTTTAGAGAAGAGCAGCTGTAAGCACTTGTTGACCAGATTTGCTTCATGATGCATCTACGGATGCACACTACCAGACTTGCTTCAGATGCTGGATCTGACCTACATTTCCTTAATGAGTGAGCAGGTGAAAAATTTTGAAGCAGGTCTCATTCTTATGTAACTATAAGCCCTATCGTGAACAAACTTGTACTGATGATGAATCTAGGATCATCGTTCAGATGCTGGATCTTTCTTACATTTTCTGACTGACTGTCCAAAAAATAAGGTTTAGAGCAAGTCCATTCCTTAACGTTATTTATCATGCATAGTTATATTTTTGACTTTTTTGTAAATAGAAATCCACGCTCCAACATGCTAGAGAAGCGCCCTTATATTTCCGTGTGGTTGATATAGAGAACATGGATTGTTTTAATTAAGTCTGGATGTCTAGGTGTATGTGTCTGCATATGATTAAGGATTAAACACATACCTTTGGCGTTTACACATGTATTTCGAACTGCGCTCTGGTCTAGCAAATCATACATAATGAATTCTAAAACTCTCTAAATGAGAAATGACTAGAGTTGGTGAAGCAACTTAAATATCTATGGAGAGTTGGGAAGTGAAAGGATATTAGTCCTGGCTGGGATTCTCTCAGTTATGCTGAAAAAATAATGCAGATCTATGTGAACAAATACTTCTAAGTTTCATAATGAAAAGGAAACACTCAATGTATTATAGATTTTTCCATCATTTGGCTATTCACATAATTACTTATCATGATAAAATATTTTTAACTGTAATTAATATTATCCATATTATCAAATACATTGCAATTTACTGAAGTCGGTAGGTGCTAGGTAAAAGAAAAGTCAAGTTTCTAGCGCCTGCCATTGAAATATCTGGCGGCCGCCAGATAAAACTGTAGTGTTTTTGCTTTAACGACATCTACAACTTCTGTTTGTAGTCAAATCTGGGAGATTCATGCCTTATTAGCAAAGATCAAATCTACACTTTATACAAAAATTCAATTCATAAAGTCTTCACTTCATAACTTAAAATTTATGCTTTATTAGATTACATGTCTACACCGCAAAAATTATTTGGCAGCTTCTAGTTATTTATGTGGCGGCCGCCAGATAAGTTTCTGGCCGCCGCCAGTTATTATGTGGTGGCCGCAGGAAAACTATTTTGCAGCCGCCAGATATATTTTTCTAGCCGAATAATTATGTGGCGGCCGCCATGCAGATAAAATATTTTTTGTTTTTCTTACCTTGCACCTACAATGTACATGTTCCAGCTTACGTAGCAATATGATGGTTTTAAATAAACATTTTATCTATGTATATATGTAAAGTTGCATTTATTTTTTAATCGTGCCGATTTTTTCTTTTTATTTAAATAAACCTTTTATCTATGTATATATGTAAAGTTGCATTTATTTTTTAATCGTGCCGATTTTTTCTTTTTATTTCAAAACATTTTTTTATTTCAATTTGATGATATTAAGGTATATTTTATAAAACATGTACATATGTAGTTGTATAACCTCATTGATGAAAATGTCTTGCATATATCTGTATATGACATTTTTACGTTTACCTATCTCATGTCTACATATCTTTTTCATTTGCATTTTTCGTATGTGAAAATGTTAAATATTGATTATAAAGTTTATGTATGAACTGTAGATTAATTATGATGTTAAAACTTTCTGTATATGTTTACGTTTTATAAGTTAAATTCATTCTCTTTTAAAGAAAAGTAACATTTAACACACCAGAAAAATATCGCACCTTAAAAAAACATTCGCATAAAATCAATACCATTTTCCGTTAAAAAAAAATTTTGAAATTGGTTAATTTATGTCTTTATTCATATTTATTCTATTTCATTTACGATTTTGACGGTTAAAAAAATCCACTTTCCCCCTATAAAAATGTCTACTCCAAAAATATACGAAAGGGGGTATACTTAAATTCTCAATTATCACGTGACCGGAAAATATGCAACATAAGTTATTTTCATATTTTTAGGAAGATAAGAAGTTTTTCTACAAAATATCAAAATTTCATGAAATTTTGTGAGGGGCCGAAAAACGGCCTTATCGAAACTCCCCCTTTTTTAGGTTACCTGAGTCACTCAGGTGACCTTTTGTTATCTGTTTTCGTCCGTCGTGCATCGTGTGTTAGCATTTGGACATTTTCAGCTTCTTCTCTGAAACCGCTGAACCAATTTCAGCCAATTTTTGCATATGCCATCTATGTGTGAAGGGGAACAAAATTTTTGATTTTCATGGTCCCTGCCCCCATGGGGCCTGAGGGATGGGGCTAAAACCACCAAAATTAATGCAATCTTTAAAAAACTTCTTCTTTACTCCTGGACATCAAGCAGTCAAACTGTTGGCATGATTGTAATAAGCATTGAGCCCTCTACCAAAATTGTGAAATTCATGGCCCCAGGGTCAGGGTTTCTGGTGCTAGGGCGGGGCTATATAGATCATATAGTGAAAGTGCATTATTTCTTTGAAAATCTTCTTCTCTACTCCTGGGTATTACTGAAACAAATTGAATACATAGTTATGATAAGCAAGAGTGACTCTACCAAAATTGTGAAATTCATGGCCCCAGTGTCAGGGGTTCTGGTGCTAGGGCGGGGCTATATAGATCATATAGTGAAAGTGCATTATTTCTTTGAAAATCTTCTTGTCTACTCCTGGGTATTATTGAAACAAATTGAATACATAGTTATGATAAGCAAGGGTGACTCTACACAAATTGTGAAATTCATGACCCCGGGGTCAGGGGTTCTGGTGCTAGGGCAGGGCTATATAGATCATATAGTGAAAGTGCATTATTTCTTTGAAAATCTTCTTCTCTACTCCTGGGTATTATTGAAACAAATTGAATACATAGTTATGATAAACAAGGGTGACTCTACCAAAATTGTGAAATTCATGGCCCCAGGGTCAGGGGTTCTGGTGCTAGGGCGGGGCTATATAGATCATATAGTGAAAGTGCATTATTTCTTTGAAAATCTTCTTCTCTACTCCTGGGTATCATTTAAACAAATTGAATACATAGTTATGATAAACAAGGGTGACTCTACCAAAATTGTGAAATTCATGGCCCAAGGGTCAGGGGTTCTGGTGCTAGGGCAGGGCTATATAGATCATATAGTGAAAGTGCATTATTTCTTTGAAAATCTTCTTGTCTACTCCTGGGTATTATTGAAACAAATTGAATACATAGTTATGATGAGCAAGGGTGACTCTACCAAAATTGTGAAATTCATGGCCCCAGGGTCAGGGGTTCTGGTGCTAGGGCAGGGCTATATAGATCATATAGTGAAAGTGCATTATTTCTTTGAAAATCTTCTTCTCTACTCCTGGGTATTACTGAAACAAATTGAATACATAGTTATGATAAGCAAGAGTGACTCTACCAAAATTGTGAAATTCATGGCCCCAGTGTCAGGGGTTCTGGTGCTAGGGCGGGGCTATATAGATCATATAGTGAAAGTGCATTATTTCTTTGAAAATCTTCTTGTCTACTCCTGGGTATTATTGAAACAAATTGAATACATAGTTATGATAAGCAAGGGTGACTCTACACAAATTGTGAAATTCATGACCCCGGGGTCAGGGGTTCTGGTGCTAGGGCAGGGCTATATAGATCATATAGTGAAAGTGCATTATTTCTTTGAAAATCTTCTTCTCTACTCCTGGGTATTATTGAAACAAATTGAATACATAGTTATGATAAACAAGGGTGACTCTACCAAAATTGTGAAATTCATGGCCCCAGGGTCAGGGGTTCTGGTGCTAGGGCGGGGCTATATAGATCATATAGTGAAAGTGCATTATTTCTTTGAAAATCTTCTTCTCTACTCCTGGGTATCATTTAAACAAATTGAATACATAGTTATGATAAACAAGGGTGACTCTACCAAAATTGTGAAATTCATGGCCCAAGGGTCAGGGGTTCTGGTGCTAGGGCAGGGCTATATAGATCATATAGTGAAAGTGCATTATTTCTTTGAAAATCTTCTTGTCTACTCCTGGGTATTATTGAAACAAATTGAATACATAGTTATGATGAGCAAGGGTGACTCTACCAAAATTGTGAAATTCATGGCCCCAGGGTCAGGGGTTCTGGTGCTAGGGCAGGGCTATATAGATCATATAGTGAAAGTGCATTATTTCTTTGAAAA